TAGTGACCATCTTCTCGATGTCTTGACACACTTACCTACAATGTTCATAAATATGAATTACATGTATCCCAGGAGGGCATACATTTAACTTTCATCCCTGTAACTTTCACCTCTTGGTCTATGTCAGGCCTAATCTAGCACCAGGAATAGGTAAACATTGTGAGCACTGCTTGAAGCAATCAAATGAATGAATTACAGTCATGTTTACCCCTTGGACAGCAAGTAGATAAAACCAGTCAATCTGAAAGATAATCAACCTTGATTATTCATTGGAAGGACTGATGCTGAAGCTGATGCTCTAATATTTTGGCCACCTAATGCAAAGAACCAACTCAATGGAAAAAACCCTGATGCTGGGAAAGGTTGAGGGCAGGAGAAGACAGGGGCTACAGAGGATTAGATGGTTGGATGACATCACCAACTCAATGGGCATGAGTTTGAGCAAGCTCTGGGAGTTGGTGATGGACAGGGAAACCTGGCATGCTGCAGTCCATGGGATTGCAGAGTTGTACACAATAGAGCAACTGAACATCAGTAACAATTTTGAAACAGTGGTCTTGTTTTTTTTTCTATTTCCTCCCTAAAATTTATGAGCATGTGTCTCCTTGAGCATTGCACCAGCAGTCTCTAAAGGAGAAATGTTTGTTGAATGAGTCTGGATGAGAGGAAGGACGGAAGGGCTGAACCTCCTGTTCCAAGGTGAAAAAATTGAGTTTTTATCAGCCTTGTTTCAGGTGACAATTTCAAGTCCAGGGGGATCAACACCATGCTCTCATTTGCATTTACCTATGTATCTATCCACCCATCCATCCATGTGTATAGCTGGACACCTTAAGCTCAGGTACAGGGACGTCTGCCAGAATGGCAGGAAGAGACATGAAAAACAGCCATCCCTACTGCCCTCTCAGCCACCAGGACCTGCCAATGGCCTGTGGTTAAAGATTCAGGGTCACTGGGATGACAAGGACACAGCGCCAGACCCCACCTTTAGAAAAACACAGCCTCACAGTCTGAGGATGCCAAGTGTTTACCAGGCTTGAGTGAGGATCCAAAGGAGGCCCCCCAGGCTAGCATGAATGAGTGGGGCTCTGTTTGGCTTGTAACCCCTCCAGGCAAGACTCCTCAGCCACCTGGCCCTTACATCTATCCAGAAGCCAGACTTTCTCCCCTCCAAGGGCTGGGAGGAAGCAGGCACCAAAATCGTCCTGGATTCCAGGTACCTGGTGCCCCCTGGAGGCCCAGACATCACTTCCCCTGGTTTGAGGGGCACCGCTTCAGAGGGTCCTGCCCACATTTTCCGGGCCCAGGCCCTGTTCCGACTTTGTCTGAAGGGGACCTTTGGTGGAAAGAGGAGAAGCCTGTGCTCAGGCCCAGCTCAAGCTGAGGACATTGGAGGGGCTTCGGAGATCAGACAGAGGTGAGGAAACCAGACGCAGGAATTGTTTGGCTTCTGAAAAAAATTGAAAACCAAATTGAGGGGGTGGGGCAGGGACTCAAGTAGAAGGGGTGGGAAGCATGATCTCGAGAGAGGGGAGTCTAATGGACCCTGAACTGGAGTCTCCCCTGACCCAGGGGTCACATAAGTGGTAAAGTCCAGAGTGGGGGCATTGGAATGGGGAAGGGGAGGGACACCTTATGAGGAAGGTGGGGGTGGGGAGAGAACCTCTGCTCAGGGGGCCTTAGACCCTGCCACTGCACAGAGGAAAAGGGGTTTTGGAAGCACAGACAGAGGTGCAGTGGGTAGAGGGCTGGAGGTGGGGCGTTCTACCCCTCGCCTTCTCCCTCCGGATCTCGAGGGCCCCTTCCTCCCACGTCACCCCCACTCCCTTCTTCCATCCCGTGCCCTCCCCATTCCGTCCCCCTATTCCCACTGCCCCCTCATCCTGACCACCGCCCTCGTCCTGTGCTCATCTCCATCCCTGCCTCACTCCGTCCCCCACCCCTCTTCCACTCCACGCCAATCGCATCCCGCCATCAGCACCTTACCCACCCCCACCTACTCCACTTCCCATCCCCCGTCTCACCACCCATTATCTCTCACCCAGCCCTCCCTTCCTCTTTCCCTCCCTCCCACCACTTCCAACCCGCCCTGCTCCCCACACCCCATCCCGTTCCGCGCCTATTGCCCCAAGGACACTCTTCCCCCTTCCCACACCCTACTCTGCTGAGTCACTGCTCAGCGTTCAGCGGGGACCACGAGGCGAAGCGCGGCCGTACAAACCGTAAGTTCCCGCTTTGGGTCCCCCGCTTTCCCGCGGGGTGACCTTGAACTAGTCCCTCGTTCGCCCCACGGACCCCTAATTCTATTTGCCGGCCTAAAACGAGTTGTCAGGCCTGGGGGCTGGAGTTAAGGCTGAAGCGGGTAAGGAGCCGGCCTTGAGCCAGCTGGGGCCACGTGCTCCGGAAAGAGGCCGTGGAGCCACGCTGTGGACGCAATAATCCAGCGGACCACGGTGTGCTGCCACTTGGCACCGGACGTGGGGTTCCCTCTGGAGGTGCCAGGGCGTGGAGGGCCGAGAAAGGGACAGAAACGGGGCTGTGGGACGGTAGTCGGTGTCCTTAGAGCAAGGGCCCTTTGACCCGGGCGCCAGCTCGGTGCTTCGCTTGTCCGCTGGTCCAGCCGTTGAGAAATTGCTCAGCTTTGGAGATAAGAGGAGACTTGCACTCACATGGCGGGGTTGGCGCTCCAGTTTTGAGTTTGCTTTCTGGCTTCCTAAATATACGTGTTAACATACCGTCTTCTTGTTTTTGGAGCATTTTGGTTCTTCCTCTCAGGCTTGGGTGGACACGAGTGACTGAGAGGATAGGAGACCAGGGAATCCAGGTGTTTGAGGACCTGAGGCCATTGTAAGCTGAACCAGTGCGGGTGGAAGTCATCTTCAGGTAAGCTGGTCCCCTTCGCCACCTCTGGTGCCCCCTCTGTGCTGATCATCGTGGAGCTGGGTAGCGTCTGTGGCCTCAGGCCTTCAGGGCAGGAGGAGGATGAGCACCCTTTAGTTTTCCTAGTTATTTTCCTAAGAGAGCTTTGGTCCTGCTGCTGTCTTAGAAGAGGCAGGTGCAGTGTGTTGGGGACCCATTCCCGAAGCCACGGTTAGGTTCAGAACCTATGCTTGAGAGGCTGGTTTCAGTCTCTAGACACTCGACCCCTGTGTGGTATTGGACAAGGGCTGGGTGGTGAGCCCAGGGAGGTTTTGCTCTCCCTAAATGTGGGACCCCTGGGAGTGAGGTGCTCCTGGAAAGAAAGCACTCAGGCAACGGAGTGAGTCCTCCAGCTGCAGGTGGAGGAGGCCAGGGAGGTTGTGTGGCCAGACGTGGAATGGAGAATGGTGAGGGACCCCAAGGGCAAGGATGAATGGGTTTATGCACTGGGGGTGCTGGACAGCCCTTGGGCCCTGCTGATCCCTGCACACCTGGCTGTAACCCCCAGTATCACTGCTGTCTCCAGAGCAGAATGTGTGGACCCTCTCTCCCAGAGCTGCAGACTCTTGAGTGTCTGTGTCAGGACAGACTGGGGCCAGGGCCCTGAGAGGAGGAAGATGTGCAAAGAGGAGAGGTCAGGGTCATGAATCCAGGGGAGTTCAGGGCAGAGGGAGAAAAGGGTCAGCCTGGGGCTGCCAGCCAGCCCCCTTCCTGTGCAGTGTGTGATCAGAGCCCAGCCCACGGCAGAGAGCCCCGGAGCTCTGCTTCTGCAGTCACGGCACTGGACCAGGGTCCCCACATCCTTCGTATCCCCTGCCTCACCTGTGGGAGGGGCCTCTGCACAGCTGCTCCCTAGATCCTGCCGGCGACACCCCATCAGAAAATCTGCCTACTTGCCCCTGAGGAGGGCAGGCAGTACTGGGAGGTTTCCTCCTGGGAGATGGCCTGAGCCTGAACCCTTGGAGGACAGCTGTTGAGCTGAGGTAAGGTGTAAATCTAGGCCTTTCTGGATTTCTCCCCGAATGTTGCACTGTTGCCCCATCCTCCTGGATGACCTGCCAGTACCACAGACCTGCTGAGTCCCTAGACTGTGGTGGGTGGTGTCCCCTAAATGGAGGCTCCTGTTCTGTGCTCTAGTAGTCCCAGCCTTTTTGCTGCCCAGACACAGAGTTGGGTATTCCAGTCCTCAGAGACTTGCCTGGGCACACCGCCCTACCAGACTGGCCCAGAGATGGCTTGGGGAGCCCCGGACCTGGCCAGAGGCACCGCTGCCCTGTGACTGTCCGTGGCCCCTCTGTGACAGTCTCCTGAGCCCCAGCCCTGCCTGTGAAAAGGCCCCTGCTGACGATGTTTCAGTTCTTGAAGAAGCTGAGAAGCGGAAAGTGAAACACTTGATTTAAATTCTGCCAAATACCAGGTATTGTCATTTTGATTCAGAATCCAGCTTCAGGCTCCCATTCCCCGTCCCCTGGAAAAACTTGAATAAAGAGCGTGTTTGTGACAAAAGAAATGAAGATGTCTTAGAGGCATGATGCCAGCAAATATTACTTCAGGTGGTAGTGATAAAGAAACTTGGAGATAGTATCAGGCCTGAAAGCACAAAGAAAACGAGATGTTGGAAGCAGATCCAGGCTTAGGAAGTAGGGTGACAGTTGGCCAGGTTGTGCATAGGAAAGATCCTCACCTCCAGTTGAAAGTTATGTGCTGAGAATAAAGGGAGCAGAGTTGAAAGGACTCCTTGTTGACTTTTTTGCAAAGAAATGAAACACTTTAATTCTCAATGCTTAAGATCATAGAATACCAAAAAAAAAAAAAAAAAATAGCTTTAGCATTTTTGTTTCTCTAAACATTTATAACCAGTCAGTCCTAAAGGAGATCAACCCTGAATATTATTGGAAGGGCTGATGTTGAAGCTGAAGCTCCAAAACTTTGGCCATCTGATGTGAAGAGCTGACTCATTGGAAAAGACTCTGATGCTGGGAATGGAAGACAGGAGGAGAAGGGGACAACAGAGGACGAAATGGATGGATGGCATCACTGACTCAATAGACTTGAGTTTGAGCAAACTCTGGGAGACAGTGAAGGACAGGGAATCCTGGTGTGCTAAGGTTCATGGAGTCTCAGAGTCAGACAGGACTGAGTGACTGAACAATAAACATTTACAACAGTTAGTGTAACAGGGTTCTTAACTTTAAAAAAATATGTAATGGCTGTGGGAAAATATCATAATTGTGCCTAAGATTATGAAGGTTGGCTTTGCAGTTTCAGCATGAGTGGTCACCCTGGTGGCCCTGCTCCACTGTACAGATCAGCTTTGCCTGTCATTATTTTTGAGGCTTGCTTGCTTTTCGTTTGTTCAGACACCCTGAGTGGAAGATCATGACTTTTTTTTTTCTTTTCAGTCTTACTGAGATATTAATAGAATTGACATATAGCCCTGTGTAAGTTTAAGGGGTTCAGCATCATGAGTCCATTTACATCCATCCTGCAGTGATGAGCACAGTTAGTCTACTGAACATCTTTTCATATGGATACAAAATTAAATAGAAAAAAGTATTGTTTTGATGAGAACTCTTGGGGTTTACTGTATTAACTTTTATATCTAACATAAAACAGCATTAGTTATACTTGTGTTGTATGTCACCTAACATAAAACAGTGTTAGTTATACTTAAGTTGTATGTCACCTCCCTCACACATACTTCTAACTAGAAGATGAGCATGACAGTTTCACGAGGTGTGCCTCCCCGTTACCCAGAATGATGCCCCCCAGCCACTTGGTAAATATTAGAAACGCCTCCCCCAGGCTGCCCCCACCCACTCCTCTCTGAACCGCTCGCATCTATGTATCCAGTCTTGAGCTCCCTCCGTGTGCCCGTGGAGTCAGGAAGGGGGGGCAGCCACTGGCATCTCCCCTAGGCAAAGAAGAACAGAGTCGGACCCTGTGAAACCATTCGGTGTTGTTTCCAGGGCTCCAAAGAGCTCTGGCACCACAGTCCTTTATGTCTCATGATGGAACACGTAGCCCCAGGTCATTCACCTTAAAACCTAAATAATCGGCCAAGCAGAGGTATAGAGTTGGTATGGAATTTAAAGACTCAAGAGGCAGTTTTCTGTAAAGTTTAACTGGGGGTATCCTCTACTGCATATTAATGAAGTCTCCTTTATGTACAGTTAGGAAGGTCCCCTGGAGTCGGGAATGGCAACCCACCCCAGTATTTTTGCCTAGAGAATCCCATGGACAGAGGAGCCTGGTGGGCTACAGTCTATGGGGTCTCAAAAAGTGGGGCACGCCTAAGGGACTAATACTTAATACTAGAAAGAAATGAGGTGGGAAGCACAGTGGTGGAAAGAGGTGATGGGTCAGAGTAGGACACCTGTGAGGCTCACGGGCACGTGCTGCCTCAGTGCTCAGTGCGTCACGCTTTCATAATCAGGAAGGGGGAGGGGAAAGACCTTCTTTTTCTTGAGTAGACATCACGTTTCCATCATCAGTGCCTCCTCCAGGCAGGGCAGGGAAGTTTACTTGTCCTGCTCTACATGGTCAGGCTAGGACTATCCTAGTTCAGTTCAGTTGCTCAGTCGTATCCGACTCTTTGCGAACCCATGGACTGTAGCACACTAGACTTCCCTGTCATATTACTTGGGAAAGATATTTTTAGGTCTCAGTACAATGCAGGTCTTTCATTTTGAAAACTCACCTTTCCATAAGTGATTGTATTTTGTATGCACAGAGCCTGTTTTGGGGGTCACTAACTTGATGACACCACTGGGCAGGTTGTAGGTCTTGTTTTCTGCTATTGTTTGGGGGGCATTGTGGAAAGAACATGCCTTAGGGGCCAAAGAGCATGTTTTGGGGGTTTTTAACTCACTGAGCTCACGAGGCAGAATGTAAGTCTCACGCCACCACTGTTTTATTATCTGGGGCCGTGTTTCATGCTTCTGTTGCATGGTTTTGTTGCTAAGCAAGTTAGCTTGATTTAAGCAAGCCAACCTGGCTTTGATGTTAGATGACTTGTTTTGCTTTATGAATCGAGCAAGCCTACATGTTTCAGAATTTTCCCATTACTTTCTTGAGTGTCATTAGTCTTATTGTGGTCTCCCAAAACCCCGTTAAGTTTCTTCTCTATCTGCAGTTCCCTGATGGAGTATCGAGCTAACTGTTCGATCATTGTGTTCTATTATTCTGTCCCTGGCACCGGGGACACTCCCAGCCCCCGAGTGCAGGCTGCAGCGCCCTCAGTGATCCCTCCACCACTCCTGCAAATGAGACGCAGCTCTGAGAGCCAGGAGACCAGGCCCCTAGTTCTGCTGTCATTTCCTCCCTCCCCCTTGTTCTGGGCTACCCCCTGCCCAGTCCTACCTGCCTGGAGTGGACCCTCAACCTCCCACCGCCTGCACCCCGCCCCCCCCACTTCACCCTATTGCTGCTTTGCCTCTAGGAGCACCACCCTCAGGAGTAACTGGCTAGAGTTAGGGTGATCTGGACATCTGGCAAGTCTTCACTGGGGAGGAAGAAGGAGGGAACCTCTTTTGTTTATGTCTAGATGTCATTGAATCTGTCTTGCCAAGCACAGGAAGAGGCAGAGAGGGCTTGGAGAGACCTTTTTCGAAAGACCCAGAAAGCAGAATATTCCAGGGTAAAGAGATCTGACTCCAGAGTGGAGGGAGGACAGACACACTGGAACTCCAGGTGGGATCTTGTCTGTGGAGGATGGGTCTGGAGAGCCACCATCAGCCAGGTCCCCAAGGCTTGTCAGCCTGGGGCCTCTGAGGACCAGCCAGGCTGTGGTCTTCTTCCAAAAGCCAGGAAGGGACATCTTCCATCATTTCTAGTGCCTCTTTGGGCACAGATGCATTCTAAAGACCCTAGGAAGGCCCTGGGGAGCAGATGCTTTGCAGTCACAGAAGGAATTCTGCAACTAGAGAGGGATGAGCTCTTCCCACCCCGAAACGAGCTCAGAGAACAAAAACAGGTAGAAATGTCCCCCAGATGGACTCACATGTGGGTCCTGGGAGTCGTCCTGGGCCAGACCTGACACTAGGCAGGAAGAACACTTCTTCATGCAGATGAGCCCCTAGTGCTGCTGTGTCCGGTGAGTCCCCTACACACACACAGTCTGTGGAGCTGGAGGTGGACAGAGGGGTCCCCTGCGTCACTTAGAAAGACTTTTTGGCTGATACTTCCTGTTTTTAGATCATTTGAAGACAGTGGTCCCTCCTGCATCCTTAGATCTCCTGGATGCTGAGTTGCCATGGAAACATCCCAAACTTAGACCTCTGCTGTTTCCTGTTTCCCCAAGTCCCTGTGAAGTCGGCTAGCTCTCCCTAATGTTCAGTGCGGCAGATCTGTCCATCCATCCATCCATCTTTGCCCAAGTGGGTTTTCCGGTTACTCCTTCGTGAAGCACGACAGCGCCCTCCCTTGGCTGAGTCTCAGGCTCACCAGGCTGAAAAGGAAACCAGGGGTGAACTTCGGCTTCTCTCTGAAAGTGTTTTGAGGTACTGCTGAAAAGTGTCAGTGTCACTTTGGCTGCTCTTAATCAGGGACTTGATGGTTATCTTTGTTGCGCATCTTGAGCTCCTGCAGCTGATTGGTCAAGGTGATTGCCGGAAGTTAAAATGCCCACAAGGCACCTTCCAGTTTAGCCCTGTTTTAGGGTTCTCCTTCCGGGACGCCCACAGTGCTGGCTGCTGGTGGGGATGGTAGGAATTTGGTGAATGCCGTCTCTGGGAAGTTACCAGACTGCAGAGTATCCTTCAGGGAAGGCCGCCTTCTCACCCTCCAAATAGGAGAACTGTTGGGGCGTCACAATGCCGGGGGTGGAGAGGTTCCGTCCGTCTGTGTTCTGAGACCGCGGCAGAGCCAGCGCGCCAGCCAGCCCAGCAGGAGCTTCACCACAGACCTTTTGATGCAGGCTTTGCGCCTCCCCAGGGAGAAAGTCCGTGTTGTTACCTATGCTTAATGCAGCGCAAAGGAAAAACGGAATTGTATTTGTGGGCTTAAAGTTGAGCCCCCACCAGAATCTGTTTTAAGTGAGAGCCTTAGGGGAAGGAGAGGAGTGGGGGTGGGGGGTTTCGGAAGCGCTTTGCGTTACTTGCTCAGTGGCCCTGAGGGGACGTCCGGTGACCCAGCTTCACTTGGGAAGGATCCTTTGAAGGTCATGGTGAGGGTACAGGTCGCTGGACAGAGCCCAGGCTGGGATGTGCAGCAGGACACCTGAGCCTCTGGTTGCAGCCGTTTGCTGACACAGATTTGTGTCCTTGGCCCACGTTGATTTCCCTTCAGGAGAGCCCATGACCCTAACCCCTCAGTGGCTTTCAGGCAGAACAAGGCGTGTCCCCGGTTTGGCCAGCCAAAAGAGTTCCATCCTCTCCCAGCCCACATTCCTAAATTTAGTCTAGTTTCAGGGGGGAAGTGCCCTTTGCCTCCAGGGAGGGAGGAAGCTGGATCTTGATTTTGCCTTTGGTTTAAGGGATCCACCTGGTCCCTTCTTAGCCACTCCTTCTGGCAATTTCTCAAGCCTATCCTAAGAAAAGTCTTTGAATTCTTCCAAACAAAACACACTTGTCTTGGGTACTTTCCTTGGTTTCATTACAAATGTCTGGTCCCTCTGTTCTCGTGGCCAGCTCCTAGGTGTCATTTTGACCTCACCAGTTCCAGGGAAGCATGGACCCTCAAAATCTGGAAGACCCCCCCATCCCTGCATTACCCATCTGTTCCCCCTTGAATGGGCACATGTTTCCATGTGTGGGGTAATGTGTAAGTGACAGTGTGATACTCTGGAATCTTACTTTGTTTCTTTTTCTTCTGGGGTGACACCACCATCCTCACAAAGCTGTCTGAACGTGAACATTGGGTGATTTTGATGTGGCCCAAACTACCCCAACGAATGTGCCTTCAGGTTGGTTTTCTTTTATATTTTGCTTTTGTGAACAGACATAGGATCCCAACAGTTGTATGTAGTGAAAAAGTAAAAAACCCACTCAGCCTTAACTGGATGGTGATCAGTAGTAAGAGAGCACTTTAGCCAGAAATGGAAATTTCAGCCAGAATCTGAAAAGTGTGTCCTAGAAGGAGAAGAGGGACTCAGGCCTGAGCACACTGCTCCATGCTGGAGCCTCGGGCTCTGACAACTGCCCCTGCTGGGGTCTTGGGACAGGCCACGATCCTGTAGAGAATGTTCTTTGCCTTTCCATTCACGATGGCAGTTGCATGCTTTGCTTTTGCTTCTACATGCAGTTTTGCCTTTATCCCAGACAGTTTGGTTTCTTCTCTAATTTTCGCCACTTGTACAGACTGTTAAAATATTTCTTAACCAAATAGAATTTGGCAGGGGGGTGGGTGGGCGAGGGGGATGGGGTAGGATGGAGTGAGAATGAGGGAATGGGGCCACACGAACAGCATCTGGGGTCTTAGTTCCCGGATGGGGATAGAACTCGTGCCCCTGCAGTGAAAGCACAGAGTCCTCCTCACTGAACTGCCAGGGAAGTTCCTGAAATTGATTTGATGAAAGACATCTAATTAGGAATTTTTGGGTGACATTTTACATTTTAGTTTGTGACCAGTGATTATAGTTCATATCATTTTATAGTTTTGGTGATTTTACTAGTTTAAAGGGTTTTGGGGGTTTCTTTTTGTCTTAAAAACGAAAAACTGTTTTTTAATTCCATGGAATACCAAAAAAAAAAAACCTGTAGAATAGTTTAAAGAGTGGAGGCTTTGTTCTGAATGTGAGCGCTTTGCCCCACTGAACCGAGTGGTGATAACATTTGTAGAAGAGACACACAGTGAAAGGTATGTCTTTATATTAAGTGGCGTAACAGCACCCATTGTGTGAGTTATTGGTTGGAGTTTAGAGACAGGCTGTGTTGGGCTAAACTCCTTATTCCTGATTTCAGCCCTTGAGTAATTAATCAGAAGCTTTCTGTGAAGAGAGCGGGGTCAGCTGTCAAGACTCCTAGGTATCCACCGGCCAGCAGGGCTGGGATTAAATGCAGCAGCCAGTAGATATGGGATGGGGCAACAGGTCACCTTGTCCCTCCTTGCTGCCTGGAGAGATAGGCTTGTCCTGGTGCCAGTGGGGCCAAAGCTGTGACTTTGTGGCCAGAGGATGTATCTGACCTTGCATTGGGTTCCCTGAGGGTGGAGGGACAGCAGGGTCTCCTGGGTCCTTGGCTGGAGAAGGACCCCCACCGCCCTTGCTCTCTGACATCCCCCCAGGACTTGTTCCAGAGTAGATTCTTCAGGATGGGCGTCCAGGCCCCACCCCGACTCCTGGAGTTGGCCGGCCAGAGCCTGCTGCAGAATGAGGCGTTGACCATTGCGGCCCTGGAAGAGCTGCCCATTGAGCTCTTCCCACCGCTGTTTACGGCGGCCTTTGCCGGGAAGCACACCCAGGCCCTGAAGGCGATGGTGCAGGCCTGGCCCTTCCCCTGCCTCCCGCTGGGGGCCCTGATGAAGGACCACCAGCCTCATCTGGAGACCTTCCAGGCTGCACTTGACGGCCTGGACGTCCTGCTTGCTCAGGAGGTCCGCCCCAGGTAAGGTCGACCTGGCAGACTGGGGAGGCCTGGGGATGTCAGCAAGATGCAGCCAGAGCGGGAGGGTGCGGGGTCACCTGGGAACAGGTGTTCGGGTGTACAGGACTGGTTGAAGGGAAGAGGGGACAAAAGGCCCGTGGGCCCAACCCCCCACCCCCCAGTGTCCCTGAAAGTGGGGACCAAGGGGGGCCCGGAAGCTGGAGGAGCTGCTGGTGTGTGGAGTGCAGAGCCCTCGCGGGGTCCTGGTGCCCAGTGGCCTCTGCACAGCTCAGCGTGTCCCCCGTGGCCCCGCAGGCGGTGGAAGCTGCAGGTGCTGGACCTGCGCCGGAACGCGCACCAGGACTTTTGGACCGTGTGGTCCGGCATTAAGGCCAGCATGTGCTCGCTGCTGGAGCCCGAGCCGGCCCAGCCCATGCAGAAGAGGCGCAGAGTGGAGGGTTCGATGGCGGGGCCGAAGCCGGTGCGGGCCCCCGTGGAGGTGCTGGTCGACCTGTGCCTCAAGGAGGACACCCTGGACGAGACCCTCAGCTGCCTGCTGAAGAAGGCCAAGCAGAGGAGGGGCCTGCTGCGCCTGCGCTGCCAGAAGCTGCGGATCTTCGCCATGCCCATGCAGACCATCAGGAGGATCCTGAAGGTGGTGCAGCTGGATTCCGTCCAGGACCTGGAGGTGAACTGCACCTGGAAGCTGGCCACGCTGGGCAAGTTCGTGCTGCACCTGGGCCGCATGGGCAACCTGCGTCGGCTGCTGCTCTCGCACATCCACGTGTTGCCGCGCATTGCCCCCAACCAGGAGGAGCCCTACGTTGGCCAGCTCACCGCCCAGTTCCTGAACCTGCCCCACCTGCAGGAGCTCTACCTGGACTCCATCTCCTTCCTCGAGGGCCACCTGCACCAGGTGCTCAGGTGAGGCATGGCGCCAGCTCCGCAGACCAGAGCAGGCCAGTCTCGTTTCCTTACCCCCGGGGCGTCTGCTCTGTGCCCTCTGGGGACATTGCCAGGGTGCATGGGCCACTCAGAAGTCCTCACAATGCCAGCCGCTCTGTCCCCGGGCGTCTTGTCACATCACCTCCCTTGTTAGGGAGGAGGCATGGCCTCGGTTAGATGCCGTCAAAGGGGACTTCTTGCTGGGAGCCTGCATCGTGGGGGCCAGGTGAGATGCCCTTGGGAGTTCTTCCCAAGAGAGTGATGTCTCAGCTGAGATGATGACACATAACTAAGCGTGAAGGACATTGGCCCATCAGCGTGAGGTTTGAAGTCTGAAGCTCTGTCTCTTCCTCCCATCTGCCACTTCTGTCCTGAGCTGTTTTAGGCTCCAGGTGAGCTGTGGGAAGTGGGTGATTCTGGAGATGACAGGGAGGGATCAGGAGGGGAAAATTGTGGCTCCTAAGCAGTCCAGAGAAGAGAAAAAGTCAAATGAGTATCATTGTTGAAGTGACTCCAATCTCTTCTAAGTTCAAAATTACAATAATTATTTTCTCTAAGACTTCTGAATACATAGGCTATCCTCAGTAACAGGTTATTGCTCTGCCTTGAATACAGTGATGAAAGCTGAGAGGGTTCAGCCTAGTCTGTTTCTATGAATGAGTTGGATTGATTCCCTTTTTGGCAGCTGCAAACTCCAGGCATTAGGAATAAATGTGTACTGAGCAACCAGAAGAAAGAAAGAAAGAAAAAAAAAAAAGAATTGTAGGTGGTGATGGACGGTTTGTGCCTCCGGATATCTGGGGGATATTCACCCAGGGATCATCTGTAACTGCTGGGACCCACCAGCCCATGTCCACTGCATCCAGCCTGCTGTTGAATTCAACTAGTCATGTCCTGTAAAAACATCTTAATTCCTGCTAACCAAATACTAGTAAGCTGAAATAGGCAAATAACATTTGTTTACTGTTTGTTTCCCACATTGGAAATAGTTCATCATTTTGTGCAGGGGGAGGTCATACCCATGTGAGCTTGACCTTCCCCCCCAGGAAGACCCCCTGCCTTCTTGTCAAGAAGGTGAGAGGCCAGCTCCAAGCCAGTGAGATACCCTGTGTTCCAGTGAAACAGGCCTCTCCTCCCCACGTCCCTCCGCCTGCCACCTCCGTCCCTGGGACTGACTGCCCTGTCTCTCCCCAGGTGCCTGAAGACCCCTCTGGAGACCCTGTCGATCACCAACTGCCTGATTTCAGACTCAGACCTGACGTACCTGTCGCAGTGCCCGAGCGTCAGCCTGCTGAAGGACCTGGGCCTCAGCGGGGTCAACCTGACCAGCCTCAACTTGGAGCCCCTGCAGGTCCTGATCGAGAGGACCTCGGCCACCCTGCAGGACCTGGACCTGGACGAGTGCGGCATCATGGACTCCCAGTTCAGCGCCCTCCTGCCCTCCCTGAGCCGCTGCTCCCAGCTCACCACCTTCAGCTTCTGTGGCAACCCCATCTCCATGGCCGTGCTGGAGAGCCTGCTGCGGCACACCGCGGGGCTGAGCAGGCTCAGCCACGTGCTCTACCCCGCGCCCCTGGAGAGCTACGAGGATGTGCGCGGCACCCTGCACCTGGGCCGCCTGGCTGAGCTGCACGCCCGCCTCAGGCAGCTGCTCTGCGAGTCTGGGCGGCCCGGCGTGGTCTGGTTCAGCGCCAACCCCTGTCCGCACTGCGGCGACCGGACCTTCTACGACCCCGAGCCCATCCTGTGCCCCTGCTGCGTGCCCGCCTAGCCCAGCTCACGAATTGCGGGCTTTGTACCCGGCACTGGGACACTGCCACCCAGACCTCAGTGCATCTAGAAGGAACACAAACCACGGTTTCAGACAGTTGTTCAGGGCATGCGGGAAAAGGAAAGGTGATTCAGAGTGGGCAGGGGGAGGGGTTGGTGGGATGTGGGGAGAGATGTGTTCCTACAAAGTTAGAAATGTGAATCTGGATTTTGGAGGGGGAATTTGGGCTTGGGAGGTTGAAGGGGTCATTACCCCTGTGTTGGATTGTTACAAAGAAATAAAGGGAATTTCAGTGTCAATCATCTGGTATTCTCTGATCTCTGACCATGATTCTCCCCTTTAAACTCATGACTCTCCTGTTAGTGGTTAATAAAAGGGCCTGAGCGTGAGTGGGGCCTAGATGCTCTCTGATGGACAAGGATCGGCTACAGGAGTTCAGGGCACCATTTGTTACCCAATCCCTGTGGTTCTCATTTCCAGGGCATCCACCTCCTCACTTATTTCTGAGGCTGTTCAGTCTGTCATCATACACAAGGTGTGTCCTCAGGGCCTGGAACAAACTAAGTGTCCAGGAGTGAGCACCACTGGAGGGAACCTTCTTCCAAGGGACCCTCGATGCTAACCCCACCCAGGCGCTGGACTCGAGCATTTTCCCCAGTGGATCCAGCAAACGCAAAGCCTCCATCTCAGACCCTGGGCAGTGCCAAGACGGGTTCACTGTGCAAAGTCAGGCCCGGAGTCCTGGGGGATATTCACCAGCAGACCATCTGGAGCCTCTGGGACTCACCAGCCCATGCCCACCTTCCCACTTCTTAGTCACATCCGACTCTGGGACCCCATGGACTGTAGCCTGCCAGGCTTCTCTGCACATGGAGACCATCTGGAGCCTCGGACCCACCAGGCTGTGCCCACGTTCCCACTGCTCAGCCGTAATCTGACTCTTTGGGACCCCATGGACTATAGCCTTGCCAGGCTTCACTGCCCATGGAATTCTACAGGTGAGAATACTGCAGTGGGTAGCTGTTGTCCTTTTCCAGGAGATCTTCCCAACCCAGGGATTGAACTGAGCCTCCAGTTTCTAAGAGAACCTAAATGTGCTTTTATGCCACAATACCCTACAGGTTTTATTTTGTTTTTACATTAATAAAAACTTACACGATTATTTATTCAAAGGCTGACGGAAATCCATTCCCAATCATCAAAATCACTTCCGATTTCAGTATTTCAGTGTTGAGTGTAACTTGGCATTTTTCTCCTTCGTGTGATTCATCTGTAACTTTTTTTAAAAACCTTAATCCTTAAGTTTTTACCTTAAGCCACATGGTAAGGATAAAAATTTCCTCCAAATCCTGGTTCTCTGCCAACCTGGCAGCACTGAGGCTTTTAACTAATTCTCTGCCCTTCAGAACTCTTTGCTGAGACCAAGTCCTCTAAGATTCAGAGAAGATGTAGCAACTAAAAATAACTATACCCCGTTTTGTGACCGAAGGAGCCGGGACCGGCATGGACGGCCAAAATTTTGATCTAGGAATGTCCTGGAAATTAACATCACCTTGATTTGAGCTTCCCTGGTGGCTCAGATGGTAAAGAATCCACCTGCAATGCAGGAGACTCCGGCTTGGTCCCTGAATCGGGAAGATCCCCTGGAGAAGGGAGTGGCTACCCACTCCAGTATTCTTTCCTGGAGAATTCCATAGAGGAGCCTGTTGGGCTCCAGTACCTGGAGTCACAAAGAATCGGACAGGACTGACTAACACTTTCACTTCACCTTTAATACTGTGGGTAAGCAGATGGTGCAAGTCATCATTGGTTGAGTTTTTCAATGTGTCACTGTCCATTATGTTTTGGTCCCTCTCTGTCCCACCATTGCATTTAAGCTGCAAAACCATCCTTTTTTGATTTCTTACTCAGGGAATTAGAACTGACAGCAGAAGCAGCAAGAAGCTAGACGCTCTGCACTGATTAGGTGAGGGTGAAGGAGGAGAGTGAAAGAGCCGGCTTAAAACTAAGTATTAAAAAAACTAAGATCGTCGCATCTGGCCCCATTACTCCATGGCAAATAGAAGGAGAAAAGGTGGAAGTACTGACAGATTTCCTCTTCTTCAGCTGTACAATCACTGCAATGGTGACCGCAACCTTGAAATCAAGAGATGGTTGCTTCTTGGCAGGAAAGCTATGATAAACCTAGACAGTGTGTTGAAAAGCAGAGACATTACTCTGCCGACAAAGGTCTGTATAGTCAAGGCTATGGTCTTCCCAGTGGTCACGTACAGTTGTGAGAGCTGGACCATAAAGAAGGCAGAGTGCCAAAGAATTCTTGCCTTCGAGTTGTGGTGCTGGTGAAGACTTCTGAAAGTCCCTTGGACAGCAAGGAGATCAAACCAGTCAATCTTGAGGGAGATCAACCCTGAATACTTGTTAGAAGGACTGATGCTGAAGCTGAAGGTCCACTATATTGGTCATCTGATGTGAACAGCTTACTCCCTGGAAAAGTCCCTGATGCTGGGCAAGATTGAGGGCAGAAGGAGAAGGAGGGCGTCAGAGAATGAGATGGCTGGATGGCATCACCAATGCAATGGATATGAACTTGAGCAAACTTCAGGAGATGGTGAGGGGCGTTGCAGATACAACTCGGGAAATGAACAACAACAGCAATCTCTTAAGATAAAACTGTCCCAGGGAGTGTGGAAGAGGAAAAGGCATGTGAGAACAATGGAAGCGCCAAGCTCTCCCTTAGAGACAGAGGAAATGGGTAGAGGTTGGCCACCTGGATTAGTGTCCTCTTGAAAGGTGTGCCTTCTGGCCACATTGTAAAGTCCACTTCTCACACAGCCCTGATCTGTAGGTCAGCAGGCACCAGCCTGTGTCCCGAGAGCCTGATCTCCTCCTGGGTACCAGATTGTCAGTTGGTGTGAGATGCCCAACCCTGTTGGTGGACTCTCAGGCTGACCACATGTCACTCCACAGCTGCAAGCCCCAGGGAGCTTCCTCCTTGACCACAGCAATGAACCAGGACTAGAGTTGGCTTTGGGGTTGTCCATGAAGGAAAGGTGGAAACAGGTCATCTCTGTCTTTCTTTTTATGTTTCTTTTGTTGGCCAGCCAATGCAGCTTGCAGGATCTTAGTTCCCCGACTGAGGATGGAATCCACGCCCTCAGCAGTGAAAGTGCAGAGTCTTAACCACTCCAGGACTACCAGAGTGTTCCCAGTAGGTCATATCTTGAGCCTGGCAGACGGCCCAGAAGTCTGACGTTGGCTGCTGAGAGGCAGCCTTTTATGGGTCAGGCTTTGATGAAGTCACCAAACATTCCTCTCTCCCTGATCTGTGGGAGCCCTGTGACCATGGCCCATATCATAGAAACTTCTGGAGGTAGAGAGAACTGAAGGATAACATACCCCATCCCCACTCATATTCCTTTCCTGGCTACAGACCCAAATGCCTTCCAATAAGTTCGTCTGATCTCAACCCATCTACAGAAAGCATGCTGACCTCCTTCCTGGAAACCTTCCCTGCGAAGAGNTTTCCTCTTTTTTTTTTTCTGGCTGTGCTGCTTCGCTTCTGGGTCTTAGTTTCCAGACCAGGGATTGAACTTGGGCCCTTGGCTGTGAAAGCTCTGAGCCCTAACCACTGGCTTGCTGAGGAATCCCCCTCAGTGACCTCATTGTAACTTAATCACCCCGTTAAAGGTATTATCTCCAAGTACGGTTACATTCCACAGCGTTGGGGGTTAGGACTTCTACAGATAATTTTTTAAAGTTAATTTAATTATTTGACTGCACCAGGTCTTAGTTGTGGCATATGGGATCTTAGGTCTTCCTGGCAGCATGTGGGATCTAGTTCCCTGATCAGCGATCGAAGCCCAGCTCCCTGCACTGGGAGTGCAGAGTCTTAGCCACTGGACCACTGTGAAAGTCCCCTCGACATAGGGATTTTGCAGGACACGATGAAGCCCAAAATAGGGTTGATGGCAGGGTGATATGCCTGGCTGCACATTTGCACCCTACCTGCTCCTTAGAAATATCTGAGACCTTTAATAACATAGACTCCCTGGTCCCATTCCTGGAGATACTGATTCTGTGGGTTTGGAGTAAGATCGGCAGAATCAACCAGGACACCAGTACTTTTCAAAAGCTCTCTAGTACTCACCTTAAGCAGCCTGGGTAACGCCTGGAGCTTGTGAGAAACTGACTCTCAGGCCCCACCCACAACTGCTGGACGAGACTGTGTTTTTGCACGAGACCCGTAGGCAGTTCCTTAGATTCACTGAGGGTTAAGAGGCACAGCCCAGATTTGAAAGTGTGGCGCAAACTGAGAAGTTTGGATCCAGATCTCTGGGCTTTGCTTATGCCCTAACTTCCTTCAATACAAAGGACATCCAGAAGCCCCTAGAGATAGTGTGGGCGTCCTAGAATCTCTGAAGGGTGGTGGGGAGGATGAAGCCCCCAGCTCACGCTGCAGCATCTGATTGGTTTATTGAGTTGCCAATAACCTGCTCCTTCCAAGGCAGGTGCTCCATGGGTCACATGAAGGAAAAATGAATTCCTGACCCTCACCCTCAGGCTCTTTTGGAGGAGTAGATTCTTGGGTATTTTAAACATGTTCTTATTGTTGTTTGGGCTTCCCTTGTGGCTCAGCTGGTAAAGAATCTGCCTGCAATGTGGAAGACCTGGGTTTGATCCTTGTGTTGGGAAGATCCCCTGGAGAAGGGAAAGGCTACCCACTCCAGTATTCTAGCCTGGAGGATTCCATGGGCTGTATAGTCCATGGGGTCTCGAAGGGTCGGACACGACTGAGCGACTTTCACTTTCACTGTTGTGGTTTAGTTGCTAAGTTGTGTCCCACTCTTTTGTGACCCCATAGACTGTAGCCTGTCAGGCTCCTCTGTCCATGGGATTTCCCAAGCAAGAATACTGGAGTGGGTTGCCATTTCTTCCTCCAGGGGATCTTTCCAACCTAGAGATTGAACCCAGGTCTCCTGCATTAACAGGTGGATTCTTTACCGCTGAGCCACCAATATTTCCCAGAGTATTGGAGGGTTTTACACCCTGGGATACCCTTCACTTCAGAATCAAATGAGGCAAACATTGAACTTTCAGATTCCCAGGCCCCCTTCTCTGACAATTTGAGTGTCTTAGGTGTGATATGTCGCCCTGGAATCTCTATGTTTAACAATGTCCCAGATGATTCTGAGATTTGAGCAATCTTTACAAGCATGTGAAAGTGAAAGTGTTAGTCATCCAGTTGTGTTTGACTCTTTGCAAACCCAAGGATAGTAGCCTCTCAGGCTCCTCTGACCAT